ATAAACTCATTATTTCACTTGTTCCTTTTTAGCAGATTAGGAAATTTTACCAAAAGCCAGTCAAAGGCAAGAAAAGTTAAAATCTCCCATTTACTAAACTTGCATTTTCTTTATCATCTCATAAGAAGTTTGTTTCTTAGAGCATACTGAAAGTGGTCAGTGTCTCACCTTGCAGCCATGCCCAGCAGTAACACTGCAGCTCGCCTTTGTAAGCCAGAAGTTTCTCGTTTGCCAGTAAACCTCTCCCACAAGACCTGCACTACAGTGGACTGGAGATTGCTGCTACTGCCGAAGAACTCCTGCACCTGAAGAAACATGTCTGGATAGTTTAGTCACCGTATCCTTTTTTACAAGGTGATTCAATTTCAAAATACACTCGACAAGAAGAAGTAAAGAAAAACAAGCACTATACGTGTTACTGCTGGTACAAACATATCCTTCTATATTCTGCATGGATGTGTGTCTATAATTGTTATTACTACTAATACTCTTGATAATTTCTGTGTACTATGATCAGTTACTCACTATTTCCTCGAGACATTGGATTGTTCCCAGAGATGCATCCACCATCAGCTCAGACAGACTGTCCACAAGAGTCTGGGCTTTCATCCTAATGAAAGATGAGACAGCTACTTTAAAAACACTAAACAAATCTGTCAAAAGTGTTTTTAGATATTTCTGTTCATTTGGGTTTTTTCTTTGCCTTTTTTAGTTTTATATTTATTTGATTTTCAATTTTTTAGTAAACATACTTTATCATTGTTTTTATCCTTTATTTGCTGTTGCGTTAAAAAAAAAAAATCATACAAAAGGGTTTTTAGACTTGCTTACATCACATGATGGCATTTACCAGTATTTGTTACTGTCCATGTATAATGCAACATACAAGATAATAAAGTTCTGTCATTGCTATCTTTTAGTTACTATTGTCAACAAGCAACCAGCCACATTTTACTGTCACTGACTAAAACAGAATCCCATCATTCAAAATGATATTAAGATAGAAACACTGATTATACACTGAAATCACAATAAATTGTCAGTCCAGTAGGGGATGAACAGGACGTGTACTTGTTTAGGGCCCTTCATATTGTTGAGTATGTGTGAAGCAGGTTTACAGACCTGATGGTGTCTCCTTGAGGGTTCAAATACAGTCGTCTGTAGGCCTGGACCACAGCATCTTTAATGGCAGCGTCGGTTGACCAGACCAGAGGCAACATCTTCCTCACCCCACTGACAGAGTTGGCAACGCTGAACTCGCATACTGTCACACAAAACTGCACCGCCTCCTGGACCACTAGAACCAAATATGTTCACATTTTACAGCTGAAATATTAATACAATCTCAATAGTTTTGCACTCTGGTGAACACTGCCTTTTACCTGAAGTGGTTTTCCAATAAAGCATGGAGTTAATGACAGAGATTGCTCTTTCCACTTGTAAGGCAAAGGTCTCTGTGTCTCTCAGGTACTGCACCAACATCTCCTGCTTCTTCAGCTCTCCATCCTCCCCTTCCTTCTCTCCCTTCTCTCCCTCTTTCTGTGGGGTGGGTGGCAAGTTCTGGCTGAGCTCTGAAGTGTCCTCATCAGAACCTGAGGAGAGAATAAATCCATAAATAAATCAATCAGGGACAATATAATATAAAGTTAATTGGGATTATAAAGCAATCTTACAGGAATCTAACCAATAAACCACTTTCCATTGCTGCTTGATTACCCAACACTTCCTGTAGCTGCTCTCTAGTAATCAAGTTAAACCTATTCTCTTTGCTGTAAGGCTTTTAGAGTGTGTAAGAAAGTGTTGAATTTACATTAACAGCATGCTAAGGAATAAGTCATCAAATTGTAATTACCTTAGTGAATTCGTCCAGTGTTTGCAGTCTGCCAGCATTAGAGGGCCAGTGTATATTAAATGTATATGACAGTACATGCTTTTTAAGAGTTCACACCCGGAAGGTGTTAGAACTGTAAACTGCCGTGATCTTGAATGAGCGAGAAACATGAAATGTATCCAAAGAAACATGAGCCCAATCAGTTAGAGGGTGGCACTGTAATTAGGGCCAAAAACCTAATTAAAAAAAGAAAAAGAAAGCAGTGCCCCCCGCACCATAAGACGGACTGATTTAAAATTGGATGTACAAGTCCAGATCAATGCGCTCTACAGAAAAAAATTATGTATATTTATATGTTACAAATGTGCAAAATCTGTCAGAAAACATAGCGACCATCATTTAAAATATGTTCACAGTGAGGGGCGGGGCTTAGCAGTACTGTAAACTGTCAATAACTCATTAAGCCATTGTCCAACTAGCACATTGTCACATTTGGCTATATTTTTGCTACATTTGTTCTTCAGCTACCATGATGCAATTGTACCAACTCAATATTTGTATCTCTCATAACTCAGCAGCATAGTGTTGGCAGAGGTTGTGTCCTCACACTGTGTCAGGCATCTAGTTTTATGAAATATATTACGAATGAGAAGTGTTGAGTTCTGTGCTCTAAAATAATCCTATACTCACTCTTATACGCGAATATTAGAGACAATTGACACCGAAAGATAATGTGACATGAATTCCCTTCAATCAAGGAGGAAGAACTCTGTTCAATTTATTATCCATTAAGAATTGCATAAGAGCACTTCTGAGGAGTATTATCCAGACAGAAATGCATCAGGTGAACTGAGTGCAGACGGTACCTTTGAAAATCAGAGCCAGTGTGTACATTAGAGTCTCAGGGCTGAGAGTGGACAGGGAAGCAAACATCTCAGATTCAGGAAAGCAGGCGTGGGCTCTTATACAAAGACGCACCGCATTCCTGTAGAGGGGGGACGAGAGAAATTCCACATATCAAATTGTTGGCTAATTGACAGCGCAGGAGGAAAAAACCTTCAGGTACTGACACTTCAGTCCACTTTTACCCAGGCCAACACTGGTGATTAGCATCACCTGTACTTGTTGACACGGAGATACTGAGCAATCTTCACTGCGGTTGCTCTGTCGTCTTCTTCCTCCTTCTCTTCCTCCACATCGCCGTTGTCCTCCTCCTGCTCCTTCTCTGTTTCACTTGTGGGCTCCAGCTCTGTCCCGACAGTGATGAGCAGCTCAGGCTCCATGGCGGCCCACAGCTCAGAGGCTTTAATGACTGCCACTGCCAGGAGGGGGAGGGAAAGGGAAAGGAGGAAAGAAAATCAAATTCAATGAGAATTACTCACGTTAGAGCTTCAAAGAAAATTTCAGTGGAACTAACAAAAAAAATAAATTGATAGAAATCGATTAGCAGTGGGACATAATGTTAAGACAACTGTTCATAGGGTTAAAACCTAGATTAATTAGTAATGTTGGGCTCTCGAGTGCCACCATTTGATCATATTTTGTACATCTTCCTGGTGTGCCACAGTACTGTTATGTTAGATATGTGGTGTTGTGGGATTTCTGGCAGCGGTCAGAAGATTCATTCACTAGTTTTGAATCTTCCCACCCACCTTGAAAAGTGTTTTAAAAATGGTGGATCAATTTGTGGAGAAACAAAAATCATAGCACTAATGCAGAAATGTCATGATTAATGCTGCATTCAAGTGGTGTTGGAAATAAAACAAATCAGTATTGAAATGAGTCATCAAATTGTTCTCCCTGGATTTTTGCATGCACCTAAACGAGGACTTTTGATTAATGATTACTTTAGGCTAAAAGTAATTAAAATATATATAAATAAATTATTTAAAATAAAAAAGGAACTCACTTAATAAAAGGAATAAAAATCCAAAATTGGACAATTAAGTGTGTTTCATATGGTTGAAAGTTACATGTGTGAATTTTGAGACAACTTGTTAGGGGTCAGACCTGGTCTGCTGAGTTCAAATGAGTTTCTGAACTTTGTCCTCAGATTACCAAAGAAGCAACTCATTGCTGACTGAACAGCAAAGAGAGCTGGGTGAACTCCTTGCCTC